TTATTTTTTAAATGTATCTGTCCAATTTTCCCAGCACCACTTATTGAATAGACTGTCTTTACCCCATTGTATGTTCTTGCCTCTGTTGTCATATATTAATTGGCCATATAGGCATGGGGCTCTCTGTTCTGTTCCACTGATCTATGGGTCTTTTTATGCCAATACCATGCTGTTTTCATTATTATACCTTGAAGTATGGTTTGGTATTAGATAGCATAATGCCTCCAACTTTGTTCTTCTTTCTCAAGATTGCTATTTGGAGTCTTTTGAGGTTCAATATAAGTTTTTGGATTATTTATTATAGTTCTGTGAAAAATGCTATTGGTATTCTCATTGGAGTTGCATTGAACCTATTGATTGCTTTGGGTAGTATGGACATTTTGAGGATGTTAATTCTCCCTATTCATGAACATGGTATATGTTTCCATTTATTTGTATCATCTTCAATTTCTTTCTTCAGAGTCTTATAATTTTTTGAGTAAAAGATTTTTATTGCCTTGATTAGACTTATTCCTAGGTATTGTATTTTATTTTATTTTTGATGGGAATGTTTTCTCAGTTTCTCTTTCTGTTAGCTCATTGTTGGTGTATAAAAATGCAGCCAAACTCTGAGTATTTTGTATCCTGCTACTCTATTGAATCAGTGTATCAATACTAGTAGTTGTGGAATCTCAAGAGTTCTCTCTATCTAGTATCCTGTCATCTGCAAATAAAGGCCGTTTCATTTCTTCTTTTCCAATTTGGATACGTTTTATTTCTTTTTTTTATATATATATATTTTATTGAGTTTTTACAGAGAGGGAAGGAGAGAGATAGAGAGTTAGAAACATCGATGAGAGAGAAACATCGATCAGCTGCCTCCTGCACACTCCCCACTGGGGATGTGCCCGCAACCAAGGTACATGCCCTTGACCGGAATCGAACCTGGGACCCTTCAGTCCGCAGGCCGACGCTCTATCCACTGAGCCAAACCAGTTTCGGCCGTTTTATTTCTTTTTCTTATCTCATTGCTGTGGCTAGGATGTCCAGTACTATGTTGGATAAGAGTGGTAAAGGTGGACATCCCTTGTACTTCCTAACCTTAAGTGGAACGCTTTTAGTTTTCCCCCACTGAGTATGCTGTTAGCTGTGGGTGTGTCATAGATGGCCTTTATTACGTTCAGGTATGTTCCCTTCCCACTTTATTGAGAGTTTTTATCCTGCGTGGGTGCTGGATCTTGTGAAATTCTCTTTCTTCATCTATTGACATGATCATATGAATTTTATCCTTCATTTTGTTTATGTGTTGTAATATATTAATTGATATGCATTCCAAGAATGAACCCACTTGATTGTGGTGTATGATACAAAAAATTGGGTTTATTGAGTTTAGAGGGAAATGATTGATTTGCAGATACTGTACTAGCCTTGCATCCTGGGAATAAATCCCACTTGGTCATGGTGTATGATCTTTATAATGTATTGCTGGATTCGGTTTGCTAATATTTTGTTGAGGGTTTCTGCATCTGTGTCCATCAGGAATATTGGTCTATAATTTTCTTTCTTGGCAGTGTCTTTATCTGGTTTTAGAATCAGGATAATGCTGGCCTCATAAAATGAGATTGGGAATCTTCCCTCCTCTTGAATTTTTTGGGATAGTTTAAAGAGGATAGGTGTTAATTCTTCTTTGAATGTTTGGTAAAATTCACCTGTGAAGCCATCCAGTCCAGGACTTTTTTTTTTGGCGGGGGGCGGGGGGGAGTTTATGACAACTGTTTAAATTTAATTGGTTGAAATCAGTCTGTTCAGATTTCCTGTTTCTTCTTGATTCAGTCTTTGAAGATTGTATGTTTCTGAGAATTTGTCCATTTCTCCCATATTATCCAGTTGTTGACATATAATATAATCCTTTGTATTTCTGGGGTGTCATTTATGATTTTATTTGATCTCTCTCTCTCTCTCTCCTCGTTAAAGATTAATTAATCTTGTTATCATGTTTATCTCTCTAACGAACCAACACTTGGTTTCATTTATCTTTTGTTGTTGTTGTTTCATTGAGCTTTTGTAATTTTTAATTTAGACTCGATTTCATTTGTTTCCACTCTGATCTTTATTATTTTCTTCCTTCTATTCACTTTGAAATTTGTTTTTGTTGTTATTTTAAGTTCCTTTAGCTGTAAGGTTAGATTGTTTAAATGAAAATTTTCTTGTTTCCTGAGGTAGGCCTGTATTGCTATGAATTTCCCTCTTAGGACTGCTTTTGCAGTGTCCCATAGATTTTGGGTTGTTGTGTTATCATTTTCATTTGTCTCAAGGTATCTTTTGATTTCTTTCTTGATCTCCTTGTTAACCAATTCATTGTTTAGTAGCATGTTATTTAGCCTCAATGTGTTTCTGTGTTTCAGGCTTTTTCTTGTAATTAATTTGTAGTTTCATACTATTCTTGTTGGAGAAGATGCCTGATATGATTTCAGTCTTTTTAGATTTATTGAGATTTGTTTTGTGTCCTAACATCTGGTCTGTCCTGGAAAATGTTCCATGTGCACTTGCAAAGAGTGTATATTCTGCTTCTTTGCGGTGAAATGTTCTGAAAATATCAATTAAACTCATCTGGTGTAATGTGTCATTTAAGGTCTCGGTTTCCTTGTTGATTTTTCTGTCTGGAAGAACAGAACCCATTGATGTTGATGCGGTGTTGAAATCCCCTACTGTGACTCTATTACTGTCAACCTCTCCCTTTATGTCTATCAAGATTTGCTTTGTATATTTAGATGTTCCTCTGTTGGGTCCATATAACATCTTCTCTGCTTGGAAACTATGTCTCCCAAATCTCAATATGTGACTATTACTAAATCTTGTAAAGATTAAAGCATATTTGAGAGTAATAAATAGCTCCACAGCCTCAGCTGTGCAAGAACTGAAAAGTAACACGGAAGATGTTGTGGGGTTTTAGGCTCCAGGAAGTAGCCAGTGTGTATGGCTAATGGGACTTAACCTGCTGTCTTGCCCAATTATCCTCTGTCAAGGATGGTATTGTTTCCTGTGTTTAAACTTTTCCATAATGTTAGTCACCAGGGCTTCTACCAACCCACTTCCAGTGGCCTGTGCTGTTGGGCAACTGGATTTTTCTTTTTCTTTTTAAAAAAATATATTTTATTCATTTTTTTTACAGAGAGGAAGGGAGAGGGAGAGGGATAGAGAGAAACATCGATCGGCTGCCTCCTGCACACCTCCTACTGGGGATGTGCCCACAACCAAGGTACATGCCCTTGATCAGAATCAAACCTGGGACCCTTCAGTCCACAGGCCGACGCTCCATCCACTGAGCCAAACCATTTAGGGCTGGACTTTTTCTTAACCAAGCAATAAAAAAAGGCCATTACTCCAAATCAGCACGTATAGCTGGAAGGGCAAGTCATTTTATGAAATGGAAAACTGAAACTTATAAATCTACATCTATTGAGTAGATGAGAGTAGTCGATTAATTTTTAATCTTTAGGCTATCATTAAATATCAAACGATTCTCCAGTTTAAGTATTTGACGGCCAAATAACACATTTAAAACTCAAACAACATTGAAAAATACTCGAATGCTATAAAAACCAAGTGACAGCCGTTTACGACTGGGGGAAAAGGGATATACTGGATGGTTTGAACTGAAGATGTCGACACACAGTAATCCCTAAGCAGGAAAAGGCTTTCAAAACCTGACTGTGGCTCTCAGGCATCAGCCCAGCGGCTGTCTGAAACCCAGAGACTGTTAGCAGGGGAAGGAACACAGAAAGATGTTCACCTGCCCGTGTCCTTTTTGCCGGGCTTAGCAGCTAACTGCTTTTCTCTTTCAAGTATATCTGACTCCTGCACCCATGCCACCTTCTCCTCCTGCCCCGTTGTTCCTGCAGACATTGATGAGAGAAACATTGATCAGCTGCCTCCTGCACACTTCCCACTGGGGATGTGCCCGCAACCAAGGTACATGCCCTTAACCGGAATCGAACCTAGGACCCTTCAGTCTGCAGGCCGATGCTCTATCCACTGAGCCAAACCGGTTAGGGCAAGTTCTTTTTGTGTTTTTTTTTAACATTGGTATATTTTCATGAATCAACAGTCCCTCTTATCTTACAGTCATCAGCTTCACGTAGAGGTGTTTAGCATTATTGTCCAATGTGGGATGTCTCCCTTTACATTTTGAAACCCCTTCCTTCAGTGTGTCTAATCCAAGTTTCTTCTATGAAAGTTCCCAGAGAGTTTGTTTTGACTTTGCAGACTCAGCAAAGAGTGAGGTGAGGAAGCAGCCCTCTTCCTGTTGCTCCATAGCTGGAGAGCCAAGCGCTCCACCAGCCCTCCATCTCTGGCTCTGCCTCGGACCCGGGCAGGCTCTGCCCCACAGGGAGTCACCCCCAGAAACCTAGGCTGAGAAAACCTCTGCCATCAGGGACATCCTGGGCATTGCGGTGGGAAGAGAACATGGGAAGTCGCCCGTCCTTTGCATTTCCATGTACATTTAGAAGCAGTTTGACAATCCCGCCGCCACCCCACCCCCCACACCACAACCCTTCTGGAATGAGGGACAGCTTTGATCTAAATATTAGATCGAAGTAAACGGTTGTCACTTGGTTTTTATAGTATTCGAGTATTTTTCAATGTTGTTTGATTTTTTGGCAAAAACTGATGACACTATTGAGCCTTCTAAACCATGAACATAGTATATCCCTCCAGTATCTAGATGATTTTAAATACATACTATCCCACTGTTTCCTGAGCACAATGTGCCATATACCATTAGTCCTTTACATAAATTATCCCATAATCTTCACAACAAGGCTGAGAAGCAGGTTCTGGTATAATTGCCAAAGGCCACAGTTAACGAGAGGTGAGAACCCAGGCACTGGGCCTGCACAAGCTGCAGTCTCTTCTCCACTAAGTGGCCTTGCTTCTCTGAGCTGACAGCTGAGGGAGGGAGGAGGGGCTGGTGAGAAGGAGGGAGAGAGGGCGTGGTGGTGGGTGGATGGAAGAAGTTATCCAAGGGAAGGCCGACTTAGAGGGAAAGTTTCTCGAGGCTTCTTACACGTGTTCCCTCTCTTCTGCTCAGCATCTGCCTACCTGGATACAAAATGATTTGTCCACATAGCAATCGTGCCTCTCCCATTTCAGCGTTTACACCGGACGTCCCTGTAAAGAGCTGCCTGCCGGCTGCCCTTCCCCAGCTGCCGGATGCCCTTCAGGCCAGGTGGAGCGGAGAGCCGACCCTGCTGGTCATGCCGAACCCTTCTGTGAGTCTCACCATACCACACAGACTTGGGTTTATCTCCTCAGCCCCAATCACAGTGGCATCTCTCCCATGTGGGTTGAGGGATCGACACTGAAACTCTGTCTGGTATCAAGAGAGGGAGACCATCAGAGCCCACCCCTGGGGCTGAAAGTAAGGTAAGTGACCCTCTCTCTCTGTCTCTTGCAGGATGGCTGTCCCCTGAGGTCAAGACTGGGTCTCCTCCCTTCTCCCACGTTACCAATGCCTGGTCTCATGGGGTTAGTTTTGAACCTAACACGATGGCCTCATCCACCCCCCTCCCGGCTTCTGGCTCCAGGTCTAAGAAGCCTTTGGCCAAGATGGCTGGTGAGTGAAAGCAGACTCTGAATGCTGTTCTCGCTTCTGTGAGTGGTCCTCAGTGTCCCTGGTGGTGAGGCGGGGGCCTGCCTGGCCCAACCCAGGGGAGAGGTGCAGGGAGGCTGACGGTGGGGACTCCTGCCTTGGTTTTGGTGCCTGAGGAGAGGCGGCGTGCATCCCTGGGACCTTCAGTCCTTCTGACTCAGCTAACTCTCCTAGCTCGAAAACCATGGTGCTGAGTGCCTCGCCTTGTGTGTCTCTTGTCATCTAAATCTTCCAGAATCATTCAAAGAAGGGGCCAAGCAGAGAGAGAAAACACATCCATCTCCGGAACACCAGACTTTCTGTCCCCACCAGAAGCTGGGGAGCTGAGCTGAAATCATTATGGAGTACTGATAATATCCCAGACACTGCATGATCCCAGTTAATCTTCAACAACTAAAACGAACCCCTTTTACAGATGAGGAAGTGGAGACGTAGTCTGACTTGCTTAAGGCCATGTAGAAAGCCAGCAGGTCCATTCAGATCTCTGTTTGACTCCAGAGTGTAGGTCCCCAAGCACCAAGCTCTGTGCTCCCTGGGGCTCTGAGCAGTGGCCCTCTTCCATACTTTCCTTTTCCTTTTAGCAACTACCTAGGGTTGCTCAGGGCCAAACAGATGCTAGTCCCTCCCCCTCTTTCTCTTCCATAATGGCTGACCCACCTTCCTCCAGATCTGATTCCCCTTCACTGCGAAAAATGAGTTTGGGGGCTTGCTGATCCTTCTAGCTTCACGTAGCTCTACTCACAGACTCGCAGATGGTCCACTGGTTGAGTCTAGAAGTTCTGGGTAGGGTAGGCCCACCCAAGGGCCTGGAGCAGGGCACGGCCGTCTTTCCCAGTCAGACTGGTAACACCGCCAGGGTTCTTTCCCCCCACCCCCCTCATATTGTTATACCAAGGCTTTTTCCAAAATGTAGGTATAATTGACATACAACATTATATTTGTTTCAGATGTATAAGTGATACAGTATTTATATATTGCCAAATGGTCAGCACAGATTTAGTTAAGATCTGTTACCATACAGACAGAATATTTTTTCTATTGTAGACACTTTTAAAATCTATTCTCTCAGCAACTTTCAAATATGCAATGCAATATTATTAACTACAGTCACTTGCTGTAGGACTTATAAAATAGTCAGAGTTCTTATGTCTTCCCCAAAACTTTTTTTAAAAAGTATCTTTTTATTAGTTTCAGAGAGGAAGGGAGAAATAGAGAGGGATAGAAACATCAATGATGAGAAAGAATCATTAATCAGGTGCCTCCTGCACACCCCCTATTAGGGATTGAGCTTGCAATCTGGGCATGAGCCCTGACCGGGAATCAAGGCGGGGCCTCCTGGTTCATTAGGTCCATGCTCAACCACTGAGCCACACCAGCCGGGTGGGAAACTTGTAGGATAGTGGGAACTTCGGGCAGGTCCTGAGGATGTGCAGAATAGCCAGGCAGTAGGTCCGAGAGTCGGGCGGTACTGGCCAATGCAGGAAGGGGGGCAGGTGCAGGAAGGCCGGGGGGATTCCTGGCCCCATCTCCCCTCTATGGCTGGGAGGAGGCGGCCTGGTGAGAATTAGGCCTGAGCAGAGTTTCTCCCGCAGGTTGGCTCAGGCAGGCGCTGTCCAAGAAGCCCAAGGAGATGCCTGTGTCCCAGGAAACCGCCTCCAGTCATGCTCCACCCCGGCGCGCGGATGATCCCCCATCCCCAGGCCCCAGCTCCTCTGCATCGGCTGAGTCTTCTGCTGCCCTGCCACCTGCACTGGAGAGCGCCTCCGGCAGCAGCAGTGGTGGGGGCGCCTCCTGCAGCAGCAGTGGTGGGGGTGCAGCCAGCAGCAGCAGTGATGGGGGTGCCCCCAGCAGCAGCAGTGGCCGCTGGAGCAGGGACTACGACGTGTGCGTGTGCCACAGCGAGGAGGACCTGGCGGCTGTGTACAACTGAAAGAGTAATTGAAGTATCCTCCCGACCACCATCACATAATAATGACAAGCCATCTTTGTTCACAATGTTCATTACCAGAAGTTGTCTGATAATTAATATTAACAAATATTTGAGTTCTTTAAAAAGCCTGAGGTAAAATAATATACCTAGG